CACACGTTTGGTATACATGCATACAAAGCAGACAAGTTACTCGACTGCAACTTTCTTTACAGCTACAGTGAGGACTGTGGACTGTGTACTGTATACGAGGCTCAGCTTTACATTTTTCATTTGTTTTCCAAGCAGACGTCTCTCTGGACAGAATAGAATCTGTACATTTACCATGGATGAAAGACAAAGCCATATTAACACTGTAAACTCTAAAAGTCACTGGTTGATTTAAGAGATCTTGTGGAAATATGACAAAGTTGCATCGGGACCACAAACTGTGAGAAACCAAAAGAATAATTGGATTTTCAAGGTTCTTAAAGATCTTTAAACAAATCATGTACGACTTCCAGGTCTGCTTCAATCTGATTCCAGAATTCAGTATTCTGCCAAAAAAATAAAAAATAAAATAAAAAATCTGTGAGAAGCGATTAGTGATTCAGGACACGCACGTTTTGTTTTTTTTAATGATTTACGTTATTTGGCATAAAAGGACATATTAGGATTCTCTTTTCTTCTAGTCAAGGTTGTGCTATTTCTGCAGAGGTGCAGGACTTTAGACTGCAGTGAAAAATGGAAAAATGCGACGGACACAAAAACAGTGTGTGAGCAAGAAGGGAGGTGTGCCCCGCTTCACCTGATCTACAGGCGGTCAGATCAGCATTATTAATATCGTGAAACGGGGGGAATTTGGTCTGCAACTCAGAGAAAACGATGGAACTTTGCTTTTAATGTCAAGCAATCATCCAGCTATCACCTGGTGGCACCAAATGTGCAATATATTTGCCAACATGCATGTCCTCTATCTTTAATTATTAACCAATTAACCATCAACAACCCGAGGTTCTTTAAAACAGAGTGACAGATCTCTATGCGGAGAAAGAAAGCAGCTTTCCGTTCGAGCAGGAGACGAGCAGAGCAGCTGTAATTCTCACTAGTGACTACAGTGGGCTTCCTTCTCCTCATGAACCTGTACACTCGCTGTGACAAACAAAGAAACCATTTTATCCTGACAAGAGTCTCTCTCCCTCTCTCTCTCTCGCTCGCTCGCTCTTCTCTCATCTTTCCTCAATGAAACACAGACGCTCCAGTGTAGCGTGGCTATTTGCGGTCAACATGGTGGTTATCATCAGTCTGAACGCTGCCCCGCATCATCTCCGTTTCACACAAACACACCCTCACACACGCAGTCTGTTTGTGAATGAAATGTGGGCTTGACCATTGTGTGTCTCTTTGAAGAAAGAGAGCCATTGTTGCAGAGGACTTTAACCCCCTAACATCCCCCACCTCCCCAACCCCGCCGGCTTCCTTCCTTCCTTCCTTCCCTCCCTCTCTCTCTCTTATTCTTCTCTTGTCATCTACTACTTGTTATGGTTACGCTGATGCATCGCTGTTGGTGGTGCTTCCTACTGGTGGGCTGGTATGTCGACTGCATACCGGCTCACAAAAGCAAAGTGGCGCTTCGTGCCTTCTTTATAAACGGGACGCAAGACCAGCGATGTAATGAACGCCGGATAATGTGATCATCTGCAAACATGCAGTAAAAAGGAACGCCTCTATGCTAGTCATTATGAATCAGTTGTGACAAGGTGTCATTTTGTGTTAACAAGTGATGCGGCGACGTCTCATTCTCCCTTCGCAGCACCTTCTTCTCGTCCTACATCCAGGCCTGGTGCTGGATGCATAACCAGCACAAGCATATAAGACAATGCTACTTCGGTGACGTATTACCACTACCAGCTAAACTGCACTGCATCTGTGAGGATAAAAGCAGGATTAAAAACACTATTATCTGCAGCTACTGTGTGACCCAAGTCTGACTTTGCCATATGGTCCCCAGCAGTCTCATGCATAACCACTATCGCCCATCTCCTTGCCACAAATCAGATCAATTTACGCCTAAATCGTGACTCTGCTGGCCGCTGTTCCTTTTGAATGTCTTGAAAAATGAGATTACGAGAGTTAAAAGGCATTGGTTTAGTAGCGAAAGATATTTTTTAGCTTTGCTTTTATACTTTAAAGCTAACAATGGCAGAAAAAATAAAAATAAAAAAGGAACACATTGAAGGAAGTTTTCTATCTATATTTGGCTTTCTGTGTGATACGTTGTGGGTAGGAATGGCAGGATGTTAAGAGTCCTGCTATCTGTATCTGTGCACATTTTGTCCTACCAGCCTCTAATTCAGAAGAAAATAAAGACATCCAGACTGGTTACCTGTCCAGGGTGTCCCCTGCCTTCGCCCTGAGTCAGCTGGGATAGACTCCAGCCCCCCCACGACCCTCGTGAGGATTAAACGGTGTATAGATAACGGATGGATAAAGACATCCGCCTACGATGTATGTTCACTTCCCAAACACTGTCTCTCTCCGTCTGGGGCAGAGCAGCTCTGTCAAGGTGGAGAGACTAAATGTTTGTGGTCCTACTTTAGTCCAGCTGACAGACAGCCACAAGTGAAAGTTGCATCTAAGGGTGGAAGCATGAAGCAATCTGTCGACAACATCCAGCAAAAGTTCATCACATGCAGGCAAAGCAGCGCACACTATTGGACAGCCTCAGTTTGTCCCCCTGTAGCCCAGCTATGCTACTAGCAGCATTGAGCCCACACATAAAGCTAGCTGAATTATTTGTGCAAATGATTAAAAGTAAACATTAGCTGCGGCTAGTAAAAACACTGTCAAAGAGACAATCTTTCATTTCAAAGTGAAGCGCAAAAAGATGCTATGAGCATAATGGACCTACATTTACTTGACATCTCTTCACGGTCGAGCTTTTGCTGCTCACACAATGCAGGAGGCTCTATTTCAGCAGTGAAAACCGGCTCATTGTGTGACACAGCATGAATTAACAAAGGCACTTAGTTAAAGATTTTGTGCATCTTTCTTTTCCAAAAGTTGCAGCTACAATTAACCAGCCCACCCCTCCTTCTGTTACCAAGTCAAATTGAAAGAGAGGACGTAGTGGGAGGACGACGGAGGACAGGGTGGCACCTCGCTCAGTGCCTATGAAGTGTTCTAAAGACTGCTTGGTTGATTAACTAACTGCCTTTTTGTCACTTAAAGCAAATCAAAACCAGTACAGATAAGAGTACTGACAAGCAGAATGGGTGAGAGTAGCAGCATCGGTAAAAACTTAATGATACCCGTTACTAGTTGAGGAAGATGTTGAAATTTTTAAAAATACTGCGTGGAGCCCCAAAAAAAACAAAAACAAAACATGTATTTCACACAGCAACGGTGCTATAACTGGTACAGAAGCAGCATCGGAGTGGCTGCTGTACAGTATCTCAGATGTCTGGATGAATATTACATCAAAGGAACATCAGCAGAGGCAACGATCTCGCCTTAACATCAGCCTCGGTATTAATCTGCATAAGTCTTATCTGTATAGCGGATCCTCGTTATATAATTCTACTGGTTTAGCATAATCATAATATGTTGTTCCGACTGTAGTTTATAATGCATTTTTTTAAATAATTGCCTTTTTTACATTGGGGCTGTTTTATAATTTGCCTTTCTACCGTTTTTGAGAGTAATATTACTCCAATTTAGAAAGAATGCATTCGGTGAGAACTGGTGCAATCTGGGTTCATGTTACCTTCGAGTGATGCTACACATGGCTGTACTTATCCTGTTGTATACTGTAGCTTCTCAAAGCTTTGAGGTGAGTTTTTTTTGGGGGGCAGATTATCCAGCTGCAGCACGAATCCTTCTGTACGAAAATGCAAACCAGAAGGTGGAGCATGTCTCTAAAGAATGGAGTGTGACTTGTCTTTGGTCAGGGTGGTGTTGATTTGGTGCATGTGTCCAACTCTATAGGAGAAAAACACCCCCAGACTGGAACACGGCCAAAATCATGTCTCGCCGCGGCTTTGATATGTGTCGGTATTATTCTGTCTCCTGTTGCCTTCATGCATACACCCCTGTGTTACCTCTGCTACTGCCATAAAACTTTTTTCCAAACAGTTTCTGTGAAATGCTGCTGTTGCTCAGCCCACCAAAGCATTTGATCTGACATCCTCTCCTGAGAAGTACCGCCGTTCTTTTGACAGGAACTTTTCTTTGCTGATTGCAGTGTTGTGTTCTTTGTCGAGCAAAACTCTGTTTCTCTGCTCAAGCTGTTTTTCTCCCTCCTGGTGAACATCGCCTTGATGTATTGATCTTCAGATGGTGTGGTCTCTTCTGGTTTGCCGGATCGTGCTTTGGGTAGAGCCGATGCAATTTCCGCAAAGTGTTTTAGGCTGCCCCCTTAGAAAACTTCAGTCTAGTGTTGATTTGATGCTGAGAAACTATTCTGGCTTCTGATGTCCTCTTTTCCACCATCGTAACACAACTTAGTAAGCAGTGTTATGAAAAAGTCCCACCATGTCTCTGAAAGCTCAACAATGGCTGCAACAAGCTTCTGCTGAAATCAAATCAACTCGAGTGTCACCTGAACACTTCTTCAATAGAAGGAGCCGGAAATGGTGCCAAATTTTGAGCATTTTCTGAGCATCTTACACATCTGATTGTGATTTTAAAATTCCTAAATCCCCCCAGATTTTGATTATATCCAGAGTTTTGTAAAAACAGGACAAATATCTGATTACTATCCTTCTGTATGTAAAGACAGTTATGTACGCAGTAAGTCATGTCATCTGGAGTCTTCTAAAAACAAGAAAAACAACTAAGCAATGTGTGGATTTAAAACAATGACTTCCCACTTTCAGTTTGTTTTTTATAAATGGCACAATACAGTACTGGGTAATATCCAAGTATGTTGTTTGTCTCAATAAATCTGTGCAAAATAAAGCCATTTTGCAAAAAAGGTCCCACTCGGTAGAGTTAATTTCAAGTTTGTCTGAACACACATCCACTGAAACTTCGAGGACAGCTCACAGGCAATCATTTCAGAACGTTCAAATAAAAATAGCTGTCGTTAAATTTGTATTTCCATCTCAAGCTGCGGCTCCAACAAATCAGCAGCACCGTTATCGCAGCAAAAAGGTCAGAAAAGGTCGACTCACACTCTTTCATCATGCCGATGTCGATGCAGCGTTTGAGACGGCAGGCCTGGCAGTGACGCCGGTTATCCTTGGTGATGGTGCAGCTTCCGTTGAACGGGCAGGTGAATGAGGCTTTGCGTTTCATACTGCGTCTGCGAAATGCATTAAGCACTCATTTAGAATCACTTATTCTCCGCGGTGGTGAAAATGCAAAGTAATGAAAGCGACTGTTGTTGCTGTAAATGGCGCTTTCACTTGAAAATGAATCGCAAAGTAGAGTGAAATTAGCAATCATGTCACCCTGAAATATCATAAAAAAAAAACAAAGAAAAGAAAAATAAGCATCACAGACACATCAATTAATAAAACTGAACATTTTATTTACGGGTAACGTCTTTATTCTATCCTATTATCAATCCTTGACGAATGAGGAAAAAGTACGTCTGCATGTCTGAGAGATAAAAAGTGAGTGAGGAACGGAGAAGAAAAGGAAAACATCACAGGATTCAAGACACCACTGAATAATGAATATTGCTCTGAAAGCATTGCATGCATGTTCACGTAGCCAGACAGAAAAAGACGTACTGTGCCTCAACAACAGTGTACGCAGACAGACACGCATAGTCCTCTTTAAAGTAAAGGCAATATGTTGGGGACGAGCGTAGCCAGCCAGCGTACAAAAACAGTGACATAACAGCTATCACATTTTGTATAAATGATTCAAGAACAATGGAAATAATTGACGATTGTTGCCTAACCTTGCAAATTGATTTACCTTCTTATAAAACTAGAAACAGCTTGCAAAATGTCAAACAGACAGAATCTCTCAGTCAGGATGCTGAACTGCTGATCCAGATATTCAAACACTTCTTCATTTAAATTGCTTGAAGTTATTGGATCGTGAAGAAACTATTCTCTCTTGTGTATGTACAACAAAAGGACAATAAACTTGATTTGATTTTGAAAGTAAAAAATAGAATTAGAAAAGAATTTTTAAAAAAGTCGAACAGAAAGCACACAAGATGCACAGAGGGTACGTCCTCCACATGGAAAGCACATAAATTCAGCAACAGCGCTCACCTGAAGAACCCCTTGCAGCCCTCACAGGTCATGGCGTTGAAGTGGAAGCCGGTGGCCTTGTCCCCACACACGCCGCAAATCCGCGGGGCGTTGCGGTCGAACTCATCTGGTCCAACCACTGACGTCGTCACCGTCATGGGCTCCATCACTGAGGACAAAGAGGAGACGGGGGACAGAGATTAAAGTCTGATCGACACCGTTGGAGTTTTTGTCTATCACATGAACCCAAAAACAGTTTTTCTTTTTAAAAAGTGCTAAACCTGAGCGTACATCCGTGAATTTAGCCGACCTCAAACAAAGCTTCAAAAATCTGCCCGTTACCTCTGCCTGCCGTGTGGGAGTCTTTGAGTGTGCGCTAAATGGGGAGGTGTGTATTTCCCTCTTCTTATACAAACAGGTGTTGGGTGATTAGCATATTTAGCAAAAGGCATTGACAACCACTTTCTGCAGCTCGCGGCGATTGGCTAAATGGGTCAGCGGCCCCAGCTACACACACACACACACACACACACAAACACACACGCAAATGAATACAAAAAAAATTAGACTGATGGGAAAAAACAATTAATGACAAAAAGGGTGTAATTTGCCAAATGCTGTGAAACGATGCCTCTAATAGTGCCACGGTGAAATATCGTCGTTTATCGTGTTCATTTTTTTTCCACAGACACACACCATCTGGCCATCCCATGTGAGCTAAACAGCAGTAGGGTAACACACACCGACTGGCAACAGTGAGCAAACTAATCCATATCAATCTTTTTCCAAACACACTTCTGTGTGAAGTCTCGACTACCGAGATACAGACGATACTTGTGGGAAGCCAAAAAAGAGAACGTAGCAATAAAAGAAAACGTAGAGAAATATGTTAATCGAGTTATTGTAGTGGCCTGAAGTCAAGTAATTTGATGTAATGACTTAATGGTTCGTGTTTTTATTCCTTTTCTTTTTGTTAATTGTGGAAATTCTGAAACTGGATTGGAGCAAGACCCTGCATCTTCTGCAAGTCCTGTGCACTGTTAAAAGTTTCTCACAGTTTAAATTCAGATTTCAGTTCCATTTATCTTTAACCTTTTGCCCCCTGGATGTTGCTCTACAGTTATTAATCTATATCAGTTAACAAAATAAAAGCACAGCCATTTTCTTTAACAATAACTTAAGAGGATGTGACTAAATAGATGTATGATTTGTTTAAATTTGGTTTAAATTCAGACTTTAGTTGGATTTATCTTTAACCTTTTGCTCCCTGGATGTCGCTCTACAGATAGGAGGCTGTATCAGTTAACAAAATAAAAGCACAGCCATGTTTTTTAACAATAACTTAACAGGCCGTGACAAAATAGATGTATGATTTGTTGGGCAATTTCTGTGTAGTGTCAGATTTGGTAGAGTTGTAGATAATAAAAAAAATAAAAATTTGATCAGGTTTAACAATCTAATTCTTACTGACTCCTTGTAAGATTTTTTTTTTTACTCTCTAATATATAGTTTTGATCACATAGAAATAAAAATGACAGTTTTTGCTGCAGTTTTTCCAGATCTTATTCTCGCTTGGTAATAAGGATAAGGAGACTTGTTGTATTGCAACATTCTCCTAAATACTTTTGATCCACAGAGTCCAAGGTTGTTCATTTTGGTCTCAAAGGTTGTGGCGCTAAACTTCTGGAACACCAGAGAACAGGTGTTAAAATCTAAAACGTGGATCGCTGCTTAAATTTAAGAGGAAGTTTCAAGAAAGTGAACAGCAGAAAATACCAGGAAGGGATTAAAAACGTACTAAAAAGACGTAAACATCCGATGTGAGCGGGTAGTTTGTGGATTTCTGGCATTTTTACGCTTAAACAGGTCTGAGCATGTTGGCAACTAACACTATGGGGATAGAGAGGTCATGTGAGGGGAAGACAACTGAATGAGGACAAAGAGAGGAGGGGGGTGCATGCACTGAACTTAGGAACAGCAGGAGTCACGAGGCTGCAGAATATAGCCTGTGGGGAGTTGACGTGCATGGAAGCAGGACGGCGATAATGTCAAACGAGGACAAAGAGATAGGAGGAGCTGGTGCCGAGGAGCAACGGGAGCCGAGGGAGGACGGAGAGTGAAGAGAGCGCAGGTGAGAGAGAGCACATGTGAAGGATGGAGACAAACATAGTCAGACTCCATTAGGCCTCATTACAGCCTGGCTAGTTTGGAGCTTCAGCGCAAGTTCTCGGGAAAATACAACCATACACGTGAGGGCAGGAGCTCCGAAGCATCGCTGCCATTACTCAGAATACATCACACTGGGAACGGCAGCACACGCAGTATTACTTTAATGCATGTTGACCATCTATGCCTGTATGCATATCAGTGATTTCAGGTTACAGCGCACGTTGGAGAGAGCATGTTGATGGGACGGATAAAAAAAAAAAAAAAAAACAAGACATCCACCATTAGTCATCATGTCACAAACAGCTTTGTTTACTGATGCGGCAGCAGGTGAATAATGAAATAACTGGAGGGGGCGAAACGGGGAGGCAGTGTCAAACATCTCCACAGATCTGCAGGAACAACACCAAAACAAGCTGCCGTTTCATTAGCAGCGCTGATTAACAACAGTGCGATTCGGCTACAGGTTGGTAATTAACGACTCTAGCTGGGTTTTTTTGTCCTATAATCACCACTCTCGTCATCCTTTTTTTTTGTTTTGTTTTCTCTCACTCGTTTCTTATTTTCGCTACTAAATAATTTGCATTTGCACGTATTTACAAAGCACGATTAATTGGTAGGAATAAAAGCTGCCAGGAAATTCCAGCTCTGCATTTCTCTTGCTGCTATTTTAACATTTGCTCTATTTCTCATTGCGTATCTACAGCGCATACAGAAAGTTATCGCAGGTTCTCAACATTTTCTCCAATTTTAATCAGACGTGCTTTAAATTAGGCAGAATAATTCTCTCCATTCTACACACAATTCTCCACAATGACAAGGAAAAAATGAGTGTTTTGTTGATTTATTAAAAATAAAATACAGCCTTATCTCATTTACATAAGTATTCAGACGCTTCAACTTGGTTAAACAAAAAAAAACTGTCACAGCAATAAGCTTCACAATCATTCTTCAAGCGTGGCACATCTTTATCTTCGAAGCTTCCTCCATTCTTGCCGGTAGAATGGTTCAAGTTCAACCAAGCTGGATGAGAAGCTTTGAGATTTTTGAGAGATGCAATATTGGGCCTCTGGTGCTTTCAGGTGTTGTACTGTTGACGTGCAAACCTTCGGCCCAGCTTGAGACTCTGAGCTCTCTGGAAAAGCTCAAGATTACATTTTTCTGTATCCATCATTCCCTGTGTGACGAGCAGCCTCCCAGTAGACAGAAAAAAACATCCACACGGCATGATGCCACCGCCGCGCTGCCGATTTTGCTTTTCATGATCTGAGTCATTCATTTTTGTCAGTTTAATCAGATCAATACCAGTTTTCTTGCATCTTCTCAAAGATCTGCGCGTTGGCACAACGACGTCTCAGGTCTACAGACCATTATCACACTTTAACTGTGACACCTTATATAGACAGATGAGCGCCTTACCTAATTATATCCGATGAATTAGAAGCCCGTGGACTTTAATTAACCATCTCAAGCACTAATAATAGAGGTAGGAAGCACCAGAGCTCAGCTGGGACAGTCATGACAAAGATTTTTTTATTTTTTTTAAATAATTAATAATTAGCTTCATCCATTTTAATCTGAAACATAACACAATATGGAAAGCTACAAAACTCTCCATGTACATTATATAAAAATATCATCACATGGGTGTGTGATTCTCAGAGAGCAAGCTGCTTTGTGTTTATGCAGATGCTACGTTATGCGACATTCGTGCCGGCGAAACAAATTTAATTGGATCAGGAAAGGTAAGGCTGTCGGACAAAACAGACCTCGGCTGTGGATAATGGATTCTTCACGGACTCGTCTTCAAATTACTGTTGGTTTGTGTGCGCGGGTGCATGTGTTTGTACACTGAAGAACTGATTCATTAAACGCGTTACACAGATAAGGTCACATTATCTCTGCAGGGGACGAGGTATACTGTAAGCACTGATTCACACACAGTGCAGAGCTGATTATGATGCTAGTAATACATGTACATGTTTTCCCCCCCTACAGCACAATCAATCATGTGCCCTCTTCATCATATAGTTCTATTTTATAGCGAAAATAAAAGTAAAGTTGCACTGAAAGTTTAATTGTGACTCAGGAAAAATATCTTAATATGTGACACAATAAACTGTAATCTATTATTTGGTCATTATGTCTCTGAATTAAAACTCCTCAAATGTAGAGTTAGTCTTAACACTACAATCATTTGAATATTGTGGGGTTTGGGTCCGTTAATTAAAGAGCACATTAAATAAGTCACCTTAGGCTCCAGGTAAATTGTGTGGGGTATTTCTACGATGTTGTATAACCCCACTGTTTCATAAAGAAATAGTCGGCAGATTAACTGTTTATAAAAAAACAGAATTAGTGGCGAATTTACTAACTTACTAAAGAGACTGACTTCGGGGTCAGGGTTAGATAACTGCGCATCAGAATTTACAATTTGCAATGTACAAGCAGAGATGTGTTTTTGTTCCCCATGTTTTCCAAATGCAGCCTTGTGACTCACATCACTCAATGTAACAGCAGTCCTTGCCGCTGCTGACGCAATAACAAAACTCAATGCCGTGTCAATACGCCTGCAAAACACTGAGTTTTTTGGTTTTCCGACTTCGACTCTCTTCGGTGCACAAATTGGTGTTTGTAAGGAAAACAGGAAAGTCTTAGCAGCAATCAAAGCATCAAACAGTCGTCCTATTTTACAGGACATCGCTCTCTGTGGGGTTTTTGTTCTTGTCAACCAATGCACCAGCATTCATTTAAGCTATGAAACGCAGGTACTCAAAGTTAAAATTCTGGTGTCATGGCAACAGCAGCCCTGCAATCCTCGCAGTTCCCCATCCCAAATATCTTCCTTTCTTCCCTTCATGTTTCAAGATGGATTGCAGGAGAAGCAGCTCTTGTTTAGCCTCATGCTGATGTTATTTTTCTCAGCGATGCATTGAGAAGAGTGACATCTAGTCATATTAAAATCTATAAACCACCACCGCAGCCCCCCTCTTCCTTCATAGT